AAAAGTCAAGTTGACTTCACAGATTGACACAGTTTTCACTTGGGTGGGTTCTTACTTCAGCGTGCAGCCCAGGTGCTCAAGTTCAGCACTGCTGAAGACAGCCCCTGGGGACTTGCTCAAGCGAGAACAAGAAGCCGCAGCTGGATTCTGGGCCAGTCCTAGGGCAGAGCCAGCAGCATGTGTGCAACTGTGTGGTTGCCGGCTTTTCCCTGCTCAGGCCTGCCTGGGAACCAGCGACATTCGGAGGCTTTGCTTGAGATACGATCCGTCAGGTCTGTCCAGATTTGTGAGCTGCGTGATCTTGTACGGTCTGATTGCGAGGCTGTTTGGACGCACATAGCCTCCTGTGCGTCTCTCCGAAGCTGTAGAACCAGGTCACAGATGATGCAGGCCAAGCGTACGTAGGGCTTGGGTTTGCCTCACAAACATTCCCTTCCTCATCTCATCACCTAATGCTGGTCCAACTGACCACACTGAAGACTAGAAACAGATCCAGGAAATAAAGTCCACACATTTTATCTTTTGGGAGGATTTGGGGATGAACTCTGATTTTAGTCTTTTGCGAGATGCTAATCCAGGTCAGTTGACCATTCCTCCATTCCTTCCTTCTCCCAGGTCCAATCTTTTTTTTTTTTTTTTTTTTTTTTTTAATTTAAGAAATAGTGTCTCGGGCCAGGTGCAGTGGCTCGCGCCTGTGATCCCAGCACTTTGGGAGGCCGAGGTGGGCTGATCACGAGGTCAGGAATTTGAGACCAGCCTGGCCAATATGGTGAAACCCCATCTTTACTAAAAATACAAAAAAATTAGCTGGGCGTTGTGGCGCATGCCTGTAATCCCCGTTACTCGGGAGTCTGAGGCAGGAGAATTGCTTGAACCCAGAAGGCAGAGGTTACAGTGAGCCGAGACTGCGCCACTGCCAATGGAGAGAGACTCCGTCTCAAAAAAAAAAAAAACAGAAATGGAATCTCACTATGTTGTCCAGGCTGGAGTGCAGAATGCAGTAGCTATTCACAGGCTTGATCGTATCACACCACAACCCCAAACTGCTGGACTCAAGCAATCCTCTTTCTCACCTCAGCCTCCAGAGTAGCTGGGACTACAAGTGTGTGCCACCACGCTCACTCCAGGACCAATGTTGAGTGGGTAGATACTGATGCTTTACTCTGAACTCCCATCCTTAGACCTCTAACAGCCTGAGGCCCTGGCTACGTTTCCTCTAAACCCAACTCTCTCTGCAAATGGCCATGTTACTGCATGGAAGGCTTGGTGTAGTCAAATGCAATCACATATTATAGCTGCTATCATCGTGCCACTGCACTCCAGCCTGGGTTGCAGTGAGACCCTGTCTCAAAAATCCCCTATTATAGCTGCAAAGTAGAATCACCCAAGGCATCTTTTTAAAACACAGAGTCAATCCCAGACCACACCCCAAATTCGCTTAATCAGAATCTCAAGGCCTGGGCCCTAGGAATCTGATTTTTTTTTTTTTTTTTTCAGTAGAGACAAGGTCTTACTATGTTGTCCAGGCTGGCCTCAAACCCCTGAGCTCAAGTGACTCTCCTGCCTCAGCCTCCCAAAGTGCTAGAATTCCAGGCGTGAGTCACGGTGGCTGGCAGACTCTGAATTGTTAAATCTCCCCAGATGATTTTAATTTAGCCAGATGAAGGGATGGAACCAGTGCCTAGGATGCATGAACTCCCTCCTTACCAGCACCACAAAAAGGGGGAAAAACCCACCTCTGTCCCCATCGCCACACATTAGGTAGCACTTGAGACTCCTCAGACCAAGGTAGGCAGATGCAGCCCAAGCTCTGCTGCACACCCAGTCACCCTCCCTCTCCCATATGAACACCTCCTCCCTCTCATCTGGGCTCGTTTTTCTCTGAGCAGGTAGAGACTGTGGGGCCATGAGGAGTCCCAAGAGCTGCTCATTCCACCTCTCTCGTCTAAGACCCTCATCCCTCCACTCCCCTGCTCTGAACCCAGAAGCCCCAGGCGGGAGCTGAGTCACATAAAGACAGGAGCCACTGTTCCTTCTCTTGCCCGCTCAGTGGGTACACCAGGAAGCGAGCACTGCGTTCTCCCTTGGAATCCCAATACCTGCTTCTACTTCCTACCTCCTGTCCCAGCAGAGCCTTAGTGTCCCCTGTTCCAGCATGACATGCAGTTTCAGTGCTGTGATGGGTAGCACTCCATCGCCAGCATGTCACAGTGCCAGGGCCACACTGAATTTAGGGATGAGGCCTTTGAGCAGCTGAAAACATGTCACTTAATTTGAAAATATTTAAGGTTGTCTCCTTGTGATAGGAACTCTGCATTCATGATGGAGTTGAGCCCTGGCACAGAGATCAAGAGGCTGGAAGAGCAGATTGGAAAAGGGAGTTTGGAAGCTCGGTCCATGGCCCTGTCTGCTCCAGATCAGACATGTTGGGAGCTCTTCTGAATTTTAATCTTCACTTTTATTCAAAACCATGGACCCCTAACGCCTGGAAAAGCCAGTGGAGAGAAAGCTTCCCTTTGAGTAAATTCGAGGGAAGCACGTGTTGGAGAATGCCCATGGCTATCTTGTAAAATGAAGCCCTAGGCACCAGCTCTGTATTTCCTACTGAATGCGACTTACCCATCTAGTTCCATTGTCCAAGGCACCAGTTTTCTCTTTGCTTCAATATGTACAGCAATGTACTATCTTCATCTTTTGCATAATTTTCTGTGCCATTTAGCCCTGTATGCTTTATCTGTTCCCTTTTTTTTTTTTTTTTTTTTTTGAGACAGGGTCTCACTGCAACCCAGGCTGGAGTGCAGTGGCATGATGATGGCTCACTGTAGCCTTGAACTCCTGGGTTCAAGCAATCCTCCCACCTCACCCTCCCCAGTAGCTGGGACTACAGGTATGTGCCACCGTGCCTGGATTTTTTTTTTTTTTTTTTTGGATGCAGGGTCTCATTGTTACCCAGGCTGGAGGAATGCAGTGGCATGATCATGGCTCACTGCAGCCTCGACCTCTTGTGCTCAGGTGATCCTCCCACTTTAGTAGCTGGGACTACAGGCAGGCACCACCATGCCCAGCTAATTTTTTGTGGGTTTTTTTTGTAGAGACAGGGTCTCACTATGTTGCCCAGGCTGGTCTCGAACTCCTGGACTCATCCGTCTACTTTGGCCTCCCAGAGGGCTGGGAGTACAGGCATAAGCCACTGCTTTCACCCTTTTTTTTTTTTTTTTTTTTTTTTGTAGAAACAGGGTCTCACTGTATTGCTCAGGCTGGTTCAAACTCCTGGTCTCAAGTGATCCCCCTGCCTCAGCCACCCCCCAAAATGTTGGGATTGCAGGCGTGAGCCACTGCACCTGGCCTGTTCACTTTAGATTCGGGATTCCCAAGTTCCCCCTGCCATATGCCCCTACCAAATGAAATCTCCCTAGTCACTCTTCTCATTCAAAATTCGTGGTGGCAAGATGAGGAAGATTATTGTACACTCCCTGAGACATAGAAGGAAATGGGCACCTGTTATTTCTGCTGACTAGATTCCTTACCCCAAAATCTGCTGAAATTCCTTACCCAGAAATCCACCTGAAAGAGGTCTGGAGTCGGCATGAATTACTAGCTGCGTGAGGCCAAGGATACTGCTTTACCACTCGAGTGTTAGCTTTCCCATCTGAAACACGTGGATAATATTGGCTACACTGCAGAGGCACTGAGAGGATTACATGTAATGTATGTAAAGCAGCTGGTACACAGTCGTACTCGATAAATGGTAGCTATAATTATTACTCACCTCCTTCATCATAACCTTCAAGCACGAAAAGCACTGTGGATGTCTTGAGGGTCCAGCTGAGCAGGACAAGGCATTCTTTTCATGTTTTCTTTCCTAACTGCATTGCCCTCCTCACTCAATCTTTTAAAAATAAGTAAAATAAGACTGACCTAATTCTTCCCACATTTATCCAAACGAAAAATCTAGAACTCAGCTTTTCTGCTGTCCAGATTCTGTTTTCTGCCATCAATCCACAAGGACTCACCACCCAACTTTTTTTTTTAATTTACAATTATACTTTTTTTTTTTTTTTTTTTTTTGAGATGGAGTCTTGCTCTGTCACCCAGGCTGGAGTGCTGCAGTACAGTGACATGATCTCAACTCACCACAACCTCTGCCTCCCAGTTCAAGCGATTTTCCTGCCTCAGCCTACTCGGTAGCTGGGATTACCAGGGTGCAGGCTACCACACCCAACTAATTTTTTTGTATTTTTAGTAGAGATGGGGTTTCACCATGTTGGCCAGGCTGGTCTCAAACTCCTGACCTCAAGTGATCCCCCGCCTTGGCCTCCCAAAGTGCTGGGATTACAGGTGTGAGCCACTGTGCCCAGCCAAAAAAAAAAAAAAAAAAATTTGTTTTGAACTAAGGTGCGAGCTGGAGCTATTTGGCTAGAACTGAGAAGGTAGCGACACCCTGTGGCCAGACGCAGAACTGCAGACCAGTCTGGAGCGGGTTCCAGGCCGATATCTGCTGTGACCTAAGGCTGTGTTCTCTGTCAGATGAGACGCTAGGTGCATTAAAAAGTTTACTTTCATGTTAGAAAATAAAATGAGGAAGGAAACATAGCACCTAAAAAGCGTGAGTGTAATTATTTCCTATTTTACAAATGTGTCCTGCCTGTCATAGCATTCAAGGGCTATACGGCTTTTGCTGTCAAAACAAAAAGGACAAAAGGCGGCCAGCCACAGGGCGTAAGCCAGTTTTTTGTTTTTTTGGGTTTTTTTCTTCTTTTTGAGACAGAGTTTCACCCTATTTGCCCAGGCTGGAGTGCAGTGGCGCCATCTCAGCTCACTGCAACCTCCGCCTTCCAGGTTCAAGCGATTCTCCTGCCTCAGCCTCCCGAGTAGCTGGGATTACGGGCACCCACCACCACGCCCGGCTAATTTTTGTATTTTTAGTAGAGACGGGGTTTCACCATGTTGTCCAGGCTGGTCTCAAACTCCTGGCCTCAGGTGATCTACCTGCCTTGACCTCCCAAAGTGTTGGGGTTACAGGCGTGAGCCACCACGCCCGGCTGTCAGTCAGTTTTCAAGTGCCTGCTGGGTGCCCCCAAGAGCTGTGGAAGATTTGCAGAAACATCCTGGCAACCCTTATCCCTCTCACTCTCAGGTCTTCCTTTTTGGCATACTCTTCAAGGCCTTTTTGGCCTTGAAGAATGAGGAAGATGTATGAAGGAAGCAATTGATACTGTAGAGTGGTTCTGTCAGAGGGAAAATACCTTTAAATCATCCACAGGAATGACCGGCCTTCAAATACAGCTCAGTATTGAGGAATGAATGCACCTGTAGGGCGGAATCTAGTCTATTCTCTGCTTCTTAGCAACCTGGTTCCCTCAGCCCTGCAAGGTAGATGAATGGGTGTGTGTCCCGTCCTGGGTTATTCAGAGAACAGAAGCCTTCCTCTTCACACCAGTGGGCTCAAGTTTTTACTTGTAATTTTAGACAATCCTCAGGACTTGTTCCATAATTATGCATTTTCACAGATAAAAGACTCATCAGTAAAGATATCATGAGAATTTCCAGAGTAAATACTTAGGGGTGTCATTCACACCAGCCGGATTATGTGTTCTCCGGATCTAACCATCCGCAGAGAAATTCGTGAGAATGTGAGCGGCTCCTCTCACCTCGATGAGTTCTTCAGCCCCGCCGCTCATTGACTTGAACCGCTGCAAAGTCATGCAATGGTGGACAGAGCCCTGATCAGAAGCCCATCCTGGGAATTTGGGACAAGGACCGGGAGAGATTCAGAGTCCCTTCCTGTGGCTGGAACCGTGAGAGAGAGAGAGAGACCTCAGAGGAGAGAGGAGGAAGGGAGAGAGATCCAGAGGTGTCCAGGTCAGTTCCTGAAGACCCTGGCGTCTTTGAGACTCCTGGGACCCCTCCTGTCATACTCCTTCGTATCTGGCTCAAATTGGTTTCTATTACTTGCAATTTTGATAGAACAAATGACATGATGGACCAGGCAGTTAATCACATTATGCCTCAGTTTCCTCATCTGTTCACGAAGAAACATCATTCATTCACTCAGCAGATATTTATTGAGTGCTTTCTTTGTGCTAGGCATTGTTGTGGGTGATGGCAGACATAGCAGGGAACAAAAGAGATATTAAAAATTCCTTTACGAAATGTAACTGCTGCTAAAAAGGTCTCTGGAAATAAATATATGAAAGACATAACTTTCAAACCAGGTACCAGCCAAAGAGCTGGCTGACCCAACAGGCCGAGCACCCGTATGGGATGGGGCCAGGGCCACTGAATACAGTACTCACTCCTTTTGGCTTTACAGTAAGATGGGGTCAAAAGGGTTCACCTTTTCTATAGTGTCTTTTCTTTCACGTCTTTCCTCGGGCCCCTGCTGAAGTCCCCTCCTGATATTCTGCTGTAGGCCTCCCCACCACCCAGTTTCCACACCAGCAAACCCTCTCTTGCCCCGAGTGATTTGAGTCTGTTCTCTCTCTCTCTCTCTCTCTCTGAATACTGCAGTTTCCTTCTGGTTTTGTTTGGGAGCAGCTTTCAGTCTATTTTCAGTTCTCCTGTGGAGCAGCAGATAATACACATACATCTGTAATTCTTAAAATCTCATTTGAACCATCCCTCCTCCCACCCAGTTGTTTATCAAAACGACTCAGGAGGCCTAAATTTACTGATTCGGCTGTGTCTTCTGTTGCTGCTTCTGATAGGGTTGCAAATGAGCATCGTGAAGACCAAAAGACCTGCAGCAAGAGGGAGGAAGCAAGGACTGGAAAATCTACACGAGGAATGCCCAAACTCTCCAACAAGCTAGAAAATTCATTGTGAATGGGGTTCAGTCTTCCACACTGCCTGTTGTTCCATCCTCAGTGCTGGGCCCAAGGCTTCTTACTTCAGAGAAAAATGGGCAAACTCCCATACTTATGTAAAAGCAGAATGAAAGCCCCCGCCCTTTACTTACTGTTTTAGTATCAACACAATGCAGAGATTCTTACATAATAAAGAACTAACAGTAACACTTAGCAACCATGGCTCACAGCCCTTCTCAGCTCCCCAACATTCCTTCTAGAGATATGAAGCCTGTCATCACCAGCTAGGCAGAGGACAAACATTCCCAATGAAGATAGACAACCCAGGCTCTGCAACGTCTCAGCCAGAAGCGTTGAGTTGTTTTTAATTTTTTACATACTCCATGCCTCTGGTGCCTCTCCACCTCCACCCCCAAATTAGTGAAAAATATTCATTCCTGTGTGCCTAAGTGCACGAGCGCGCACACACACACACACACGCGCGCGCACACACACACGCGCACGCGCGCACACACACACACACGTTCTCCCAAAATCCATGTGCCCAGTGTCAGTGGTGTCTGGCATGGAGCAGAGCCTGTTTGAAGATGGAAACACTATTTTCCCCACGCTCTCAGGGTGCTGTGGCTCTCCGCCCAAGGAATAGGCTTGTCTGATAAACTACTGCATCTGTAAGATCTCTGTCTCATGGAGGACATCTTGCTAGTTCCTAAAACTCCAGGGGATGATGGAGCTTAAATAAGATACTAATGATTAAAGAGAGGAAGCAGGACAGAATTTCCAAGGCAACAACCAATTTGAGGTTTTAATACAAAGAGTAAGTTTTGTTTCTCACCTCAAAGGATGGAGAGTGGAAGAGAACAAAATGGGCTCTCCAAGTAAGGACTTAGAATCCACATTCTGGAGACTGTCCACGATGCCTGGATGAATGGAAGCCTGCCCTACCCTTAACCATACCTGTGACTGCCTTCGTACCCTCCCATCCTCTAGCTGTCCATACTGTCTTTTTATTAAATGGAGGCAGTCAGGCATACCTTTATCTTAATTTTTGAAGATAAGGCAAAGACAAATAGCTAAGAGCATATCGCCTTATGATAGACATTCAGGAATTAGATCAGTAGGTCTCCGCCCATCCTAGACAGAGGAGGGAGGTGGAACATCCCAAGGCAAATCAGTTCTGCTCTGTGCCAGAAAGCTCTTTCCAACCCATCAGAACGGTTCTCTGGGCTGGCTGGGACTGCTTGGTCAAGTAATGCAACGATCTGGTTAGACTACATGTTGATTATAACACATTTCAGGTATAGGGAACCCTGTCTGGGCTGCAAAGAGCACTGGGCTGGGAATCAGGACCAGTCTTCCTGCCTCCTGGCAGGTCTTAGCTCTCTGTATCTGCAAGTCCAGTGTAGTCTTTGAGCTAACAGCATCGGCTCCCTTCAGGTCCCACACTCTGCCCCAGACCAGCTGAATATGAATTCCTGGTGTTGGGGGCCCAGGACTCTGCATTTTTACAAGCACACTGAGGTGTGGGACCTGCTCAGGATCTGGAGGTTCTTGTCTGGAGCCTCAGGAGCTTAAGTTGTGATTGCCCTGTTCCCTTCCTGTTCCAGCATCCTATGATTCTGAGCAGAAGCTCACTTGCTTTTCTCGGGCTGGTTTCCACATTCTCCAGCCGCGTTCCCGCAGCGTTACTGGTCACTTCACAGATTCACAGACAGCTGTCAATCCAGCAGGCTTCAACAAGCAAGTGACAAGTAACTATAACCGTATTCCAACCTACTTAGAAAACTAGGTCAGTGGATGCAACAACCACACTGGTATTTGAACACGACTTACCCCCACATCAGAAAGAAAACGGATTTACTCCACCACTTGCCATGACTGCAGGAAAACCTTACTCTGATAAGGATTATCCATCTCCCTCCATGAACATGGAAGTGACTTCTGGGGATTGTGGACAACCATTCTCAGCTAATTTCTGGGGGCTTCTAAAAACAGGTTAGTTTGAGCACCAGATACACAGTCATTCCCCAAACCTCTAGAACTGATGTGGGGAAGAACAGTAATGTTGGCCAGTGTTTCAAAACCCTATCATCATGGTTGATCCGTGCAACTGGAGAGTTATGGTTAAAGGTGGTTAAGATGGTTAAATGTCAACGAATGAAGACAAGGACATGGTTTTCATCTTTTGTAGACCAATTAACTTCAATCTTTTTTTTTTTTTTTTTTGAGACAGAGTCTCATTCTGTTGCACAGGCTGGAGTGCAGTGGCACGATCTTGGCTCACTGCAACTTCTTTCTCTCAGGTTCAAACAATTCTCCTGCCCTAGCCTCCCGAGTAGCTGGGATTACAGGTATGTGCCACCACGCCCAGCTAATTTTTGTATTTTTAGTACAGATGGGGTTTTGCCATGTAGGCAAGGCTGGTCTCGAACTCCTGACCTCCAGCGATCCACCCACCTCAGCCTCCCAAAGTGCTGGTATTACAGGCGTGAGCCACCCCACCCGACTATAACTTCAGTCATCTTCTTTCATGAAAATGAAATGTCACCTTAAAAGTATCAACCAAAGGAATCTGGGTGACAGCGTGAGTTAGCTACAGGTAAAATAACTCTAGGTCTGAGGTTCTTGTTTGGGTCAGAACATTCTCCTTCAGGTACTAAAGAGACAAGTAGTATGGGATGGCATAAATGCCCTCAGGCAGAATCTCTTTTAAGCAGTTTTGCAAAATAATTTGCTCATTATAACCCAAATTAACTGAGCAATTATTTCTCCAGAAATAATGTTTTCTAGAATAAAACTGATGTCTTTCTGTAGTTACTGGCTCACCTGCAGGCTGGTCACTGTACAGCAGCCTGGCTCCGTGTCTCTCTCAACCACTCCTTCCTCCCTTTTTAGGATAATAACATCTCCCTTCCTGGATCCCCAAGCTCAGCCTTACCCTCCTGGCCCCAGATACTGGAGTCCAAAACTGCAGACAGCAACACAGAGCAGACAGCAAAGGGCATCTCCATCACCCGTGCTTTACCAGGGACCCAGGGAACAAGCCAGGGTTCGCTTGATATGCTATCAAATGGGGGAAGGGAAAGGGGAAGGTAAATGTGAGGTTTCAGCTTAAATCTCTGAATTCCCTTGTTCATAGTAGTAATATTAATGGCTACCGCTTCCTGAGTGTTTAACTGTGTGCTGGTCCTTGGGGTGATGCCTAAATGCATCACCTTATTTAATTCTCAAAACATTCTTCTGTCCCTCTCCCTAATCACCAGACTATATAGTCTAAGGAGTCTCAGTTTCCTTACCCTCTTCCACACTGCGGAGGAGAGTTCTAAAGATCAAATAAAAAATAAAAGGAGACTCATGAAAGGTCAGTGTGGGTCCAAATAAGGAAAGGGAGCGAAACCTCCACGAAGGGCATTTAATGTCAGCGAGAAACTGTACACCTGGGACAGAGATGATGAGCACGCCGGGCCCGCCAGCCTGACCTGTCGCCGTGTCCTGTGGTTTGTGAGGCCTCCCTCGGTGGAGGAGTGACAGCAGCAGCTCAAGCTTCCCCTCCTGTGGGGGGAAGACAACATGATGTCCACGCAGCCCGGTCACGCACCCAGGCTTCTGCAGCCCAGGCACAAACATTTGGTTCAGGGCTTTCCTGACATGTCAGGTCAAACGGCCCCCATTCCTCTTCAGGCAGGAGCTAGTGAACGGTGGAGGATGAAGAATTCTCACTGGAAAGGCAGGCCCAAAGTCCGGGAGGTGCAGAGCTCTTTGTGGTCACTGGGCCTGAGATGACCTTGGACTTCTCCTCATTTTAGGGAAGGAGCCGTTCCTGTAAACTGTAGATGCTGCACATATGCACGGGAATGAAAGAGTAAGAGAGCACCAGGCCTCTTAGGGAACCGATCTACATTCTGGGCAAGACCCTGAAGACATCGAGGTTGAAGCTGAGTTCCCGCCACCTTCATAGGGCCTCTTGGCCTAGTGGCCAGGGTCACAGGCAGTCATCTAACCAACAAAGACTCCAGACTTCCAGACAAGCTCGTCTCCTCCATCCAACCACAACCTCCCTCCTCCAGGCCATGGTGGACAGACAGAAAATATTTCCAAGTCCCTACATCCTGAGAGTCCTCGCCAGAGGGAGAGAAAAAGCCCCGTTTCCCACCCACCAGGAGGAGAGAGCCAGCAAAGTCCACTCCTCAAAGATCTCCAGCGTCTCTTAAATAAGCTTTTCCTTTCCATTTTCATCTTTTCATTATTTAGCATCCATCCATTTATTTATACAAATATAAAATAGATTTATATAGATTTATATAATATAGACTTTTGTGAGGCAGAGTGCAGAGGGGCCAGGAGCAGGCCCCCCGGGCTATTTACAGATGTACTGGTCCACGATCTCGGTGCACTTCTTGCACTTGACGAAGCAGCACCAGTGGAACTTGCAGTGGCAGCGCTCCACCTGCACGCTTTTGAACTGGTTGTAGCCACGCCCGCAGCACATGAGCTCACAGCCATCCATGCCCTCCGAGGTCTTGTTGCAGAGGCGACCCTGCGTGCCCAGGGAGCCTGTGCTCTCGTTGCGCAGGCAGTAGTCAGGGCTGGGGTCCACGTAGACCAGGTCCTCCGGGGTGGGCTGGGTGAAGCGGCTGTTGACCAGCTCCAGCCGGCCCTTGCGGGTGACGCGCATGGCGGCCGCACTGTCGTACTTCTCCTTCAGCCGGTCCCCCACCTTGCGGAACTCGGCCAGCTGTAGCCAGCAGGTCTTGAGGCTGCAGGACCCCGAGACGCCGTGGCATTTGCAGGCTACATCTGCCATCTTATACACAGCCTAGGGGAAGAGAAAGAAGGGAGTAAGAAGGAGGATCCCGGCAGAAGAGGCCCAGAGGGTGGCTGGGGTAGTCACAGGCCTCGGACACAGGAGGGGCGGGTAGGGTAGGGGATAGATAGCTTTTCAAATGCATGCAAAGATCCTTCCAGGATGCTCGGGTGCTCGGAGGGAAAACATACAAGGAGCGCCACAGAAAATAACACTGGGGAGGCAAGTCAACCTGTTCCTATCAGCCAAGAGGCTGGCACCGAGGCACTTTCACTCTCTATCAGTTTCTCATTCCTCAAAACCTGTTACAATCAATGCATCCTTTTCACAATCGGAAAACAAAGATATCTCCATCTTGATCAAAGCCTCAAACAGATAAATAACAACCAACAAAATACAGCCAGGCACTGTGGCTAGTGCCTGTAGTCCCAGCTACTGGGGAGGCCAAGGAAGGAGGATCACTTGAGCCCAGGAATTTGAGGATGCAGCAAGCTAGGATTGTGCCACTGCACTCCAGCCTGGGCAACAGGGCAAGACTCCATCTCTAGAAACAAAGCAAAACACAACAAAACAACAAAATGTGTCGAACTTTTGCATGATAGGAGCACAAGTCAGAAAAAAGAATCCAATTGTATCACAAGCCTATCACAGAAATCCCTGGCATAGCCCTGGTTAGCCCGAAACTCTCCCTGACCTTGTCAAATACCCTGAGAATTAAATGGCCCCTTTCCCCATGTTGCCACGTAGTCACTAGCTCCATAGAGTCATCAGGAGTCTCGCCATACGCCATCCATTTGTAAGCAAGACCACTTTCTTCCTCCCTAGCAGCCCCCAGACCCCCCTGGGAGAGGCGGAGTGACACAGTGAGGCAACGTGCAAGGGAACTGCAAGTGGCTGGGCCTGCCTGCGGGAGCACTTCGTCGGAAAACAAGTCTAACCCAGAAGTCACAGAACCACCGCAACGTGGAGTAGATGCGAACTTGAGTTATCCCAAATCAAAACGTAAAAGCAAGAGCAGACCAGAAAGCTGCTTACAAAGTGCTTTTCAACGGCAGCACACTGACGCACCATGGCAACCAAGCCTGGCAGCAGGCCCGGACATGCAGATGGCGGGATGAAAACGCAAGCCGGCTGCAGACCATTTTCTTATGCACAGCCATTGTCACCAACTGAGTCAGGACTCATTTTTCAAGGGTTTCTCTTAGATTTCTTTTCAAGAGCCCCCAGATTGTGTCTTTATTCAGAGCTAAGCAGAGACCACTGCAGGTGCAAGAGACAGCACAGCCATCATCAGTGCATATGACTGTTGTCAAAAGTCTTCCCGAGTTTTTTCCGAGACGGAATTATTCCCACTATTTTATGGTGGAAAAACTGAAGCTCTAGAGAGGCTCACTAACCTCCAAGGCCACCCAGAAAGGAGTCAGAACAACAAGCACTTATCCACTCCTATCTTGCGGCTTAAAGTTGGCTTAGAGCAGAGGAGGAAGGAAAGGAAGGCTCTTCCCAAGGTGAAAGGCACCAGCACTTAGCCGGGCAGCTCCAGGTCCAAGACATAAAGGAACTGACACCCCATTCCCACAGACACTTCAAAGACGGGGCCTGCAATTACCCTGCCGGCCCAAATGCCCTGGGTCTGAGCTGCAGCCTGACATTCCTCTGGAAATGGTCCTTGGTTTAGAGAGGGATGACAGGCGTCTGGCACTGCTGAGAGAAGGAAACATTAAGGGTTGGAAACTGCGCACCTTGTTGCTTAGCAGCTCGGGGCACGGATAAGCATCTCTTGCAGGGCAAACACTCAGACAGAGTTGGGGAAGGAGAGTCGGAGCAAGACTCTGCAGGGCAAGGACCAGAATTTTAGGAAAACAAATCCAAGAGGAAGCGCACCAGTTTAAACACCCCCCCATCCTTTCCCTAATTCAAAGACGTTGTAGAGACAGGAATATCTGCAATTTTTTTCATATTTTACTATTGATATATATATAGATCTACACACACACACACACACACGCTCCTTTTGTAGGCGATAGGGGGAAATGCCAATTTTCAGCCCAGACTGCTAACTCAAAAAGCCAAAAAAAAAAAAAAAAGCTTTAAAAAATATTTTAGTTCTACAATTTGTCCCTGGAAAAGCCCTCTGAGCTCCTCTTCCACTTCTGTCTAATGGTGTGTTGAGCCTGGTGACAGACAGGAATGTCACAGGATTAGGCACCAGGCTTTTATCTGGAAAATGCTTACAAACCCTTCAGTGGCAGAACAACATCAGCCGCAGGTGCTGTCGCCACTGTCTAAGAAGGAACTATCAGATGCTCTTGCAGGCCAAGAGAAACTTCTGGCAAAGGAGCTTAAGATTGACTCTGTGTCAAGACGTCAGATCCTGGATAATCTTTTCTTCTTTTTAATCTAGTTCTAAAATACTTGTCTATTTTCCATCCCAGCCATCACTCAGTCCTTGCTGGAGAACTTTGTGTGTAGGTGTGAGGAGGCAGGCAGTGAATACCTCCGGCCTCAGATGATGACTGATGGCCGAGGCCTGTTCCTTGGAGAGGATAAAAAATAGAGAGGGCCAGGAATTCCCACCCTGAAGCAGGCAGAGGCAAAGGGAGAGATAAGGAGTTAAGGAAGAGGAGAGGTGTGGCGCCTGAAGGAAGGGGCTAAGCGGGGAGACAGACAGGGAAGGTGTGCAAGCCAGGAACAAGCTTGATGGGAGAGAAGGCTGCCAGATAAGAGCCCAGACAAGTCAACAAACAATTAAGGGCAATAAAGTGAGACGGATCCAGCAGCAGAGGAAAGGGGAAGAGTGGCTGTCACCTGCCCGGTCACAGGCACGTGCGGACACCATAGCACAGCTCAGCAGAGCCGAAAGCCGCCTCTGTGAATCTGACCTCTCCCGAGGAGGCAACACGGAACTCCTCTGTGCGTATCCATTTGCCCCACCCACATACAGCACACGGACGGTTGAAGCAAAGGGGTAGAGAGGGCAATCCCTGCCCACAGGAACCTACCGCCAACCTCCCAAGGCAGAGGTGGAGTAAGGAATACTTGAGAAGAGCAAGAACACCCGACTGAAGATCAGGCAGGAGAAAAACTACTAACAATGGGGACTGGGGAGGGCAGTGTTTCAACTAGGATCTCAAAAACTGGATCGACCCTGGGCATTCAAGAGATAAAGTACAGATCTTAACCCCTTCACTGACGTCTCTACTCCTCAGGCTCAGACACCCGAAGACGTGGGCAAATGGACTGGGAGACACAGGATGCCTGAGAGACCGGGAGGCTCCACACACGCCCTGAGCAGAAGTCACCTGAGATGCCTCCAGTCTCTCTGCCCTGGGTTAGCCTATAGTAATCACAGATTAGCAACTACCAGAACTCCTAACATCACCACAGACTGACACCGCCTTACACACGTCCTTTTCTGGGAAACAAAAGTAGCCTTTGGAGAGGGGAGGTGTAAGGAAGATCCTGGGCAAATAATCCACTCTGGTCTCTACCTGATATCCCATGGCGGGTGATGCTATGCACACAGGTGCACCACATTCCACCCAGCCAATACCACAAAATCCCCATTCAGACAAAAGACACTTCCTATTCCATTTCTTTGATATGTGCTCCAATATATGAGTTCACACTTTTTTCTCTCTCTTTTTTTTTTTTGAGACAGAGTCTTGCTCTGTTGCCTGGGCTGGCGTGCTGCGGCGCGATCTCGGCTCACTGCAACCTCCGGCCCAAGCAATTCCCCTGCCTCGGCCTCCCAAGTAGCTGGGATTACAGGTGTGTGCCACCACGTATGGCTAATTTTTCGTATTTTTACTACAGATGGGGTTTCACCATGTTGGCCAGCCTGGTCTTGAACTCCTGACCTCAGGTGATCCACCCGCCTCGGCTTCCCAAAGTGTTGGAATTACAGGCGTGAGCCACCGTGCCCAGCCTCTCATGAGTTCACATGTTTAGATTTTGCTATGTAAAGAAATTTTGAGGCATGTATTCATACCCTGTTACTGAATCACCAGGGTGCCACCATTAAACTTCTAAGAAATCGCCATTTTCATTTTTTTTTTTTTTTTTTTGAGATGGAGTCTTGCTCTGTTGCCCAGGCTGGAGTGCAGTGGTGTGATCTCAGCTCACTGCAGCCTCTGCCTCCCAGGTTCACGCAATTCTCCTGCCTCAGCCTCCCAAGTAGCTGGAATTACAGGTGCGCACCACCATGCCCAGCTAATTTTTTGTATTTTTAGTAGAGACAGAATTTCACCATGTTGGTCAGGCTGGTCTCGAACTCCTGGCCTCACGTGATCCACCTGCCTTGGCCTCCCAAAGTGCTGGGATTACAGGTGTGAGCCACTGCGCCCGGCCACCATTCTCATTTTTGAGTGAGTTCATCTTTGTTACAATACGTCACCTGGGAACCAGAGCCAGCTGACTTGACATAGACCCGAGTGGAGACAACACTCCAAGAAAGAAGTCTGTGCTGTTTCCTGAGAGCTCTTTTTGCAGGAGAAAGAGCCTCTCGCCACCCAGTGCTCAGACCTCAGATCTTTCTCAGGGGAAACCCGGGTGCACACTCATGTCGCCCTCGGTCCCTGTCAACATTGACTATGCAGAAGCAGCAAAAGGCAGAGCTTCCTGTGGGGCAGGCCCTCCAGTTTCATGTGGCAGAGGCAGCCATGATGGGGGACAGCAAAGAAAAGTGGAGGCCGGATGCGTGCTCAGAGGAGGGGTTTTCAGGAACAAGGTGCAGGCGGAGAGGGTTCCCGCTTTCCAGCACGCCACCTGGGGCCCTGAAGCTGCTGCCCAGGTGTGCTCTGCACGTGCAATGAACCAAGCTCCCCTCAAACCTGCATTGGTGTTTCTACTGAAGCTGAGGCTTAAAAGGCGGTCACATCTTACATGAGACTGGGGAGGCTGTTTCCTTGAACCTTAAACAGATGGCTGTCTTCTCGCACTTCCACTTAGGTTTAAAAACTCCTAGCACAGAATTGTGTTTGTCATTAGTACTTGAATCTGTTTTTTGACTGGGTTTCTGGATACGTATGATAGCAGTTCTTCAAAGTCGACTCTGGTTTTACCCGAGCCTTTAACAGAGCATAAACCCTAGATGAGGTCTAATGGCCTGAACACCCAATCGCATTATCTGTTCAAGTTGCAAAGCAGGGGTGGCCAAGACAAGAGCTCTGCTCTAATCCTTATGTCTGGAATTCTGATCCAAACATTGCACCTAAGTCCTCTAGGAACTATGAAATAATAAAGTAAGTGAAACAAAACAAAACACACAAAAAAACACATGTGCCCATTGGGAAGTGAGGCATTTTGAAAATGATTTGTTCAATAGTGTGGACATCTAAATTTGCAATTGTAGGTAAGAATCTTCACGGTCAGACGAACCCGTTTCCTTGATGGCCAGGCCACAGCTGGTGGCACAGCCCGGGAACAGCCCCGGAGGTCTGCAGTGCTGGGGAGGCCGGGGAGGCCCAGCTTACCCTGCGACCCGCCTCGTTGTTCTGGAGGTTCATGAGCACCCGGCCCTGCTCCTCCGATCCTTTGGCAAAGTTCTTCTCTCGCTCCCGGGCATCCACAAACTCCTTGGCGAAGCGGTAGCCGTACTCCACATTGTCCCCACAGCCACCCCACAGCCAGTCCCGGGGCAGGTCCTTGGGCCGCGCGGTCCGGCTGCAGCCGCAGGTGGAGAGTTCGCCCTCGCGGCAGGCCCGGCTGATGGCGTTGACCACACCTGCGGCGCTCACTGCGTAGGTGAAGGCGGTCTCACGGCTACCTGCAAAACGAGGCAGGGGCAGTAAGGGGGTGCACTGTCCTCTCCCAGCGACTGTCCTCCTCCCCATCTCCCCCGACTGACCCGCACACCACAGCCTCTGCTGACACTGCTGGGGCAGGGGGCTCAGGAGGAGCGCCTTTCGCTTCCTGTAGCTCTAATGCTAGAAAACGTCTCTTGATAATGGGCTGAAATCAGCTCAGTTTTATTTCCACCTCTGGGCCCTAGCTCAGCCCTAGGAAACCACCCAGAATAAAACAAGTCCCTGGCCGGGCGCGGTGGCTCATGCCTGTAATCCCAACACTTTGGGAGGCCGAGGCGGGTGGATCACGAGGTCAGGAGTTCAAGACCATCCTGGCCACGATGGTGAAACCCCATCTCTACTAAAAATACAAAAAATTAGCCGGGCGTGGTGGCGGGTGCCTGTAATCCCAGCTACTTGGGAGGCTGAGGCAGAGAATTGCTTGAACCCAGGAGGCGGAGGTTGCAGTGAGCCAAGACGGGGCCACTGCACTCCAGCCTGGGTGACAGAGTGAGACTGTCTCAAAAACACAAACAAAAAACAACAAAAACAAAACAAAACAAAAGTCCCTCCAGCCCTGGCCTGCACTAATACCCACTGCAGAAGAGCCTGTGTGACCGGTAGATTCCTGGGAGGGAGACCTCAGCGGAGGGGAGAATAGGCATTCAGAAACACGTAGAACACGGGAGCCGAACGGAATGAGGCTAAGGAAGAAATCCTGGGATCAAGAGTAGGACACTGTGGCCTAACAGAAATGTCTCCCTCACAGATGCCATTTCTCACCACTCTGTGAGCTGCACATCTGTCTGTACTGCTGCCATTATCTAGCTAGACAGTGGCAGAGGCTAGGAGTCAAAAATGAACTAGGATTACAGTGTCTAGAAAGATCTACGCTGTCTTCCTCTCTCTTCCACAGGATCCACACTGCCTGCTAACTCAAGAGCACTGGGAACCATATTTATAGCACCTACAATTCCAGACACTCATCACGGTCCCTCTCAATACCCAGATCATTTTCCAGCAGAAAATCCCAACTATGTTCCCCTTTACTGCTGTGGGTCACCTAACAATTCATATAATATATGTTGTATTTCAGTAAAATGTCTGTTTCAGAATACTCAAGCTATCAGGGACATGCAAGCCCAAATCACATCCACTAGAATGGCTATCATCAAAAAGACGGCCAATAACAAGTTGGTGAGAATATGGAAAAAACAGAAACCCCCCTTACTGTGGGTGGGAATGGTAAGCGGTGCAGCTGCTTTGGAAAATAATCTGGCAGTCTAAGGCTAACAGTCACGAGGTTAAACATAGAGTTCCCACAGGACACAGCAATTCCACTCCTAAGAACACAGGCAAAGCTCCTTGTTTTACTGTGCTCAGCTTTCCTCTGTTGTGCAGGTGTTGCGTTTTTTGTTTGTTTGTTTTTGTTTTTTTTTTTGAGACGGAGTCTCACTCTGTCACCCAGGCTGGAGTGCAGTGGCACAATCTTGGCTCACTGCAAGCTCCGCCTCCTGGGTTCACGCCATTCTCCTGGCTCAGCCACCGGAGTATCTGGGACTACAGGCGCACACCGGCGCGCCCGGCTAATTTTTTGTATTTTTAGTAGAGATGGGGTTTCACTGTGTTAGCCAGGATGGTCTTGATCTCCTGACCTCGTGAGCTGCCCGCCTGGGCCTCCCAAAGTGCTGGGATTACAGGCATGAGCCACCACGCCCGGCTGGTGTTGCGTTTTTTACAAATTGCAGGTTTGTGGCAATCCTGCTACAAATCTATCAGTGCTACTTTTCCAATAGCATGTACTTACTTTGTGTTTCTGTCAGCATTTTTTAGCAATAAAATATTTTTAATTAAGGGAATGTACCTTTTTTAAAGATGTAATGTTATTACACACTTAATAGACTATAGAATAGTGTAAACATAACTTGTATATGCACTGGAAAACCAAATAATTCATGCAACTCACTTTATTGCAGTACAGTGGAACCAAACCTGCAAACCTGCAATATCTTGGGAGTGCCTTTATACCCAAGAGAAATGAAAACACACGTCCACACAGAAACTGGCATAAGAATGCTTCTTGCGGCATCATTCGTAACAGGCAAAAAATGAAAACAACCAAACTATCAGTGGGTAAATGGGTAATCAAAATGTGGTATTATCCATGCAATGGAATATTACTCAGCCATAAAAAGTGACTGGGTGTGGTGACTCACACCTGTAATCCCAGCAATTTGGGAGGCCGAGACAGGAGGCTCACTCGAAGCCAGGAGTTTCAGAACAGCTTGGCAACATAGCAGTACCTCATCTCTACAAAAACATTAAAAAAGAAAAAATTAAGCTGGGCATGGTGGCTCATGCCTGTAATCCTAGCACTTTGGGAGGTCAAGGAGCATGGATCACCTGAGGTCAGGAGTTCGAGACCAGCCTGGCCAACATGGTAAAACCCTGTCTCTACTAAAAATACAAAAACTAGCCAGGCGTGGTGGCAGGTACCTATAATCCCAGCTAATCGGAGACTGAGACAGAAGAATCATTTGACCCCAGGAGGCAGAGGTTGCAGTGAGCCGAGATCATACCATTGCATTCCAGCCTGGGCAACAAGAGTGAAACTCCATCTCAAAAAAAAAAAAAATTAGCTGGGCATGATAGCATGTGCCTGTAGTCCCAGCTTCTCAGGAGGCTGAGGTGGAAGAATTGCTTAAGCCCAGGAGCTGGAGGCTGCAATGAGCTATGATTACACCACTGCACTCTAGCCTGGGCAACACAAAAAAACTGTCTCAAAAAAAAAAAAAAAAAAAAAAAAAAAAAAGAAATATATGTAGACTATAACACAGATGAACCTTTAAATCCTTCAATTGCTAAGTAAAAGTAAAAAGGAGCCTAAGCCCAGGAGCTGGGGCTGCAATGAGCTATGATTACACCACTGCACTCCTAGCCTGGGCAACACAAAAAAACTGTCTCAAAAAAAAAAAAAAAAAAGAAATATATGTAGACTATAACACAGATGAACCTTTAAATCATGAATTTGCTAAGTAAAAGTAAAAGGAGCCAGTCACGCGAGGCCATATATTATATAAACAGATGAACCTTTAAATCATGGTGCTAAGTAAAAGTAAAAGGAGCCAGTCACGAAAGGCCATATATTATATAATTCCGTTTATAAGAAATGCCCAGGATAGGCAAATCCGTGAAGAATAGTGGTTACTATTGTAATAGTGGTTGGGGGTTGGAATACGGAGAGTGACAGCTAACGAGTATGCAGTGTCTCTATGGAGTGGTGAAAATGTTATGGAATTAGATAGTGGTGATGGTTGCACAACCTTTTGAATATGCTAAAAGCCACTGAATTGTACACTTTAAAATGGTGAATTTCATGGTATGTGAGTTATATATCTCAATAAAGTGGTTATAAGAAATAACAAATGATACTTATAGGGACTAAGATATGGAGAGAAGGGAGTGATTCTTAGCAGGAAACAGATTCAATCCTGATCTCAGAGATTAAACCAGGGAGAATCCCACAGTCTTGTCTTAGAAGGTAGAAAGGGAAGCAGTCTGAAATCAATCAATAGGTCTAGAGAAATCTCCCCCTTGGCCTTACTTCTTGATTATCTGGGCATGACACAGTGAAGTTTACAAACAGACCATGCTGAGTGAGTCTGTTTTTCTCTATGAACCAGTGACTGGCTTCTGGTCAGTTGTGAAATAAGAATAGTCCAAGAAAAACCGAAATGATGGCAGGAAGTTACACTCATGATTTGGCCAATAGGACCTGGTCTACGGGGCTCAGAATGAGATAAGGAGCACTGGGGATGGTAAGATGGCCAAAGAGGCTCTTAGGGAGGAGGGTCTGGGCCCCTCTTTGAGGAATTCATCTCCTTAAAATGCAGCCTCAACCACCTGACATGGCATCCTGGAACGGAGGGAGCCTCCCAGGCTTCAGCCCCAAGCTATCCTCCATATCCACCGGGAGCTTGCCCTCTACAGAGTTCCTCAGAGAAGTGGGCTGGGTTTAAGGCAATCCACTCCATCTTTTTTTAAATGACTCTAATCACCAGCATGCTCCTTCTTGTATTAAGCGAAATACGCCTCCTTAGGATTTCTGCCTGCCGCGGTTGCACCGTGTATAATCCCTTTCCCATCTGACAGCTCTTCCGTGTTTGAAAACAACGATTAAGCCTTTTACATTTTCACTTTTCCAAGCTACATATGTCTGATTTATTTCTATCATTCTTTAGCAAACACACTTTTCAGAATTGAATCAGCCCTCTCAGAACTGCCTTCCAAAATCACGTACCTGCAGCTGAACTAACACACCAGACATTTTGTACTCAGACGATTCTACCCTATCATGACTGTTCGGGGTCCAGATTTGCCCTCCGGAGCGCTGCCTGCCTCTTTCAGTCGGGGCTTCATCAGAAGCTGAGTGTGGGTAGCTCTGCCTTCATGGGGCAGCCTTTGGGCCCTTGGGTAAGCCTACTGAGTGCCATCTACTGTTGCTACCTTCAGCAAGAAAGAGATAATTCGGGGTTTCAGAATGGACATGCAACGTTGGGGTTTATCTATATATGCAACAGTTCAGAGCTGAATCTCTAACCATCTCAAGAATAAACGGCTAAAAAAAAAAAAAAAAAAAAAAACCGGCCATGCGGGACGCGTGTCTTTCCCCTACAGGAGAGAGCAGAACAATTTCATGCCCTCTCCGTTCCATAGCAGCCCAAGGTGCCTCCAAGCTCCCTAGGCAGAGGCTGGGCAACGGGCAGAGGCTCCTCCAAGCTGCTCTGCCGCCCTCTGGTGACCAACTTTCGCAGCAGCTTCTCAAGATAGGGTGAGGGAGTACTCACCAGGAGCTACTCAGGGCTCAAAGGGGAGGAAGGGAGGACAGCCTCCTAGGTAGCATGAGCCTTCAGTGATGTTATAAAAAGGAAGGGGAAAATCAGGCAAACAGAAGGGTTCCATTTTGTAACAGAATAGAGCACACAGAGATGGGCTCTCTTCGACAGGGTTTGCTTTCGCTAGGCACCTACTGCACATCTGAACCCAGCGGAATGTCTTTTCTTGCCAACCCCTTTCTTTCCTAAGGTACAGCCTCACTTTGGGGCCTTTAGGCACATGAAATACACATGAAAAGGATCTAGCCAACATCAGGCCTACATTAGGTCCCCAAGAGACATTAACTCCACTGAAGAGATCAGAGGAGACTGTCTCTGCACCTGGGCCGTCCTAGTCTCCTTGCCCACAACACAGGGCAGGAGTGCTGCCAAGATTTTCACCAGAAAGAAGAGACAAATGCCAAGTGGGTTTGAGAAGAATCAATAAACTGTGAGTAAATCCCACTAAACCCCCAAGTCCACTCTGTTGGGAAAGCCGCCCCCTAAGACTGTCCCAGGAACACTAGGACCTTCCTTTCATGCACCCTGAGTTGATACCGAAGGAAGCAAGAGAGGAGCAAGTTTCAATGTGTACTTTCCCCATCTTTAATTCCCTCTCTCTCTTAAAAAATTTTTTTAAAATAGAGACAGAGGTCTCACTATGTTGCCCAGGCTGGTCTTGAACTCCTGGCCTCAAGCAATCCTCCTGCCTCAGCCTCCCAAGGTGCTGGATTACAGGCGTGAGCCACTGCATTGGGCCTTACTTCTCGATATGGGACAGAGAGGGTAGGGAAAGAGGTCTGGAATAAGTGGGAGGGGGAAGGAACCTTCCGAGTATCCTCCCTAAGAGAGGAGCACGAAGAAATCTCTACTTCCCCAACTCCCCTGCCAGGCTGAAATCCCTCTCTGAGGAAACTCCAGCCTCAGGTAACCTTCTGAAGGGAGGTGTTCTGGGAGAATGTCAGGCAGAAGGAACACAGCATTCTAACACTTCGCTTTTATGGCCCTGGGGATAAGACCCAGTAGAATAGGGCCGGATTTCTCAATTTCTTGCCAGAGAGGGGAGGATTGCATTTCAAAAGGACTGAAAACAATTAGACCTCAGATCACACCTCCATCTAAGCCATAGGGTAGCCCAAGAATCCTTGGCCAGCAGTGGGAGAGGGGAAGGGACAAGAATCCAGGAAGACTTGGCCCTCTCCCTCTCATCTTTTCTTTCGTCTGACCCCTTCCCCCAGGTTCACACATGAAAAAGCTGGGACGGGATGGGGTTGGGTTAGTGACAGCTATCACCAGTTTGGCCCAACATTTCTATCTCTGTTTCAAAGGTTCAAGTGGAAAAGACAAAAATCCAACAGACGTTCAGGGCTGCCATTTCTGGTTCTCTACCCAAGGCTCTTTTTTGTGCTGAGAGACAAAGGCAGTGGCGATGGGCGGCTCTCCTAATCCACTCTAAGTCAGCTCAGACGTTCTGCCCCCTCTCAATGAGTCCCAAGCAGCCTGCCCCAGGTGAGGCTGGAAGGCAGAGAGCTAGAGGACCATGAAGCGTGTGGTTTCTGCAGCCTCCCAGAGCCCACTTCCTCATGTGCCTCTCTTGGTGCTTGGTGCACACCGCTGCCAAGCCTAGAGAGAGCCCAGTTAGGCTCCATTTGGGCTCTCCCTGTGCCAGTCCTGAGAGCGCTTCATTGTTTCCAAACAAGATGAGTGCAGTTCCTTAGCCGAGCCCTCTTGTAATGGCCTCTTACCTATCTGCATGACTCTCCCAAAGACAGACACGTTGTCCACCGTGCTGCAGTTCCACCGCCGCTGCCGGAACTGGTGCTGGCATTCCTTGATGCCTGTCTTGGCTCCCTCCCCTATGTAGGCCATGTGCTCCTGGTACAGTTGGCACAGCTTCCTCTGGCCAGGGGAGAGCCCAGGAAGCTGACTGCACACAGGCTGGGCACCGATGATAAACATCTCGGGTCTTTGCACCGGGTTCAGAGCTAATGACCTATGATAGCAATCCAGAAAGGGGAAAGTAAGGCCCAGGCGTGAGCATGCGCCTGTGTGCAGCATGAAGTCATTCATTCAGTACATTTAGGGAATGCTTGCCTGTGTACAAGGCTCTGGAAAGAAAAATTAGTAAATCAGAGTTCTGGCCTTCAAAGGACAAACTGAAGGAAGCTGAGGCATGAACACAAAGGACACGCGAGAGGCCAAATGCCCCAGACAGACTCCAGTGTCTGGATCTGCTGTGATCAGAGAGGAAAATAGCTCTTAAGGCTGAAGAGAAGCCTTTATAGGGAAATCGCCAGAATTTGAACTGGATCTTAAGAATGGGGGGGCAGGCAGATAAGAAGACAAAGGGTGGGGGGCAGCTCTTCATTTTAGGTAGAGGGCAAAAGGAGCCAAACCCCAACGGGAGAGCACAGGCCTCATTCAAGGAGTAGGAGTGACTAGTTCAGTGCAGCCTAAGTGCATGGTAAGCCATGAAAGCAATCAATTCCTTTGCATGGGACTCCCCTTGTGCCTTTAACATCCAGTCACTTCACATACATCACGATCTATTCTGCATGTTTTCACTGCCATGTCTCACTTTGAGCCTCCTCTCATCCACTCTTCACCAGTTCAGAGGCTCTCGCTTTTGCTCATCATCTACCCCCCATATAGAGTGTTAGATGAGAAGGCTGCAGATTTGCCATCTGAGTAAAAATGCTAGTGGCAGAGACCATGCAAAATAGGTGGTGATTGCCTGCTATTTCCATGTCAACTTGGCAATGACAATAGCCTTTAAAACACAAGAAGAAAGCCAGCCACCCATGGTGCTGTGAACCCCTCATCTGGCCTTCAGACTTAGAAAAGAGGAATTCCATCTCCTACCAGCAAAACACACAAAACAAAGGAACAAAAAACTACAAAGTATTGATATTCTGGTTAACCCAAGAGCAATTTCTAACGATTCATGGGCACGAGGGAAGGTCCAAGGAAAAGGGAATGTGGACAGGATTAGAGAAAAAAAATCAAATGAACGGATCCTTTATCCTCAGGGAACCCTTACAAAGGTAAGGGCTGAGAAAGGCACAGAGCGTTCTTAGTTGTCCTGGGATAAAAGAGGCCCTTAGTTTTCCTAGGAATCAAGGTACCATGGACACACAGTGCCCTTCCTCCTCATCTCAGCCGCTGAAGGCGGCCTCCGGCTGTGCAGGCAGGACCTCAGCCCCTCTCACTCACCACCAGGAGTTGGCGTCTGTCAGAAGCTGAACCCAGCTGGACAGCAGAGCAGCCGTGAACAGCAGCAGCAGGCTGGGCATGGTCGGCCTCAGCCCTCCCCAGTGCCCTGGGACTGACAGCTTCCAGAGTAGGGCTCCCTGGAGAAAACAGAAATGGAGAGTCAGTGTGGAAACTCAGCGGATAAGGGCACACCAGGAGCCAGGGTGAGGTGGAGAAAAGTGCTCGGATGCTTACATGCTGCTTGCTCCCCACAAAGCTGCTCAGCCTCTTTCCAGTCTCCACCTCCCCCCGCTCATCTTCCCACCCTAGGACTTCTGTCTCTTACCCCAAACTGTGGGAGCCCTGCGCAGGGCTTACTTTCCAAAGAAATAATGATCTGAGAAACCAGAGACAGAAATGAAAACAAGTAATTTCAAGAGTGGAGCTTGCTGCGTTCCTCCGTTCGGCATCCGGGAGGCCACTTAGGCTGTTGCAAAGCACACCTGTCCTTGCTGCAGAACGTCCAAAGAAATGAAGACCATCCTGTCCACTCCCCTACGTCCCTACCTCTCATTTCAGCCCAGAGACTTCTTTCTCTCTGACCCTCAGGCTGTCCTTCGTGGGATGAAAAAATTTTGGTGAATTGGATTTGCCTGCACCCAAGGAGGAGTTTCCCCTCTCCATCTGTGCCCTTCTCACCCGCAGCAGATTTTCTGAGTCCCAACCCTTGTGTACAGATCAAGCACTTTTCACTTTCTCAAGGCAACTTTTCTGAGAAATGTAAAAGCCACACCGCGAACCGCCCGCCCGGAAAGCTTTGGTGGCTGAGGTGGCGCCTCCCTAGGCGGCCCCTGCCCCTCCTGGCACCGTGGCCCTCGAGGGCGGCACTGAGCACCTTGCCCAGCACCTGCACCGAGGGCACTGCCAACGCCAGGCGGCAGCTCTGGCATCAAATGCCTGAGCTGAGGACGCATCTTCCAGATGCCACAGCCCTTCCCCGGTAGCTCCCGAGCCTCCCACCTCTCGGCCTCCTGCCTGCTGTAACTCACGCCTGTTCCTCTATCCATCCCCGAGAACCCCTGTCCCCAGCCCGTCAGGCCCGCGGCAGATCCGTGCTCCGGACCCTGGAGCGAGCCCGAGCCTAAGACACACGCCCCCTGCGGCTCCCCCGCGGTCCTCTGGGGCCTCCGTCAGGGCGTGACCCGCGCCTCCAGCGGCCTCCCCGGGCCCCCGAGGCCCCGGACCTGGCGAGCGCAGCCCCGGCTCACTGCGCCGCTCCTGCGCGTCGACGTCCCCAGGCTCTCCGGGAGGGGGCGGCAGGTGCTTCGGGCCATCGGCCCAGGAAGTATTTTTGTCCTGGGGCCACCAGGAGACGAAGGTGCCCCGAGCAGGATCCAGGAGAGCTGGGACACAGCCTTTCCCCCACCCCCTTTTGATTTTCCTTCTAGAAGTCTCAGCTGGAGCGGGGGAACCAACAGGCAGGTGTGTGGGGCCGGCAAGGGGCAGATCAAAGAAGAAACTTGCTCCTTCCCCTTTGTCATGCAGAGCCAGCTCGGAAATGAGCCGGCCTCCAGCCCGGGACTAACAGCCCCCACACCCGACTCTCCTCAGACCTCCCCTCCTCTGAAGGATGCCCCTCCCCCTCCCCTCTCCCCCCATAAATCCTCCTCGTCCCCCAGGGCAGCAGGTCTGTGAATGCACCGACTGGAACCAAGAGAGATGGAGCAGAGATAGGGCTGGCACCAGAAGTTAATGGTTTTATGGAGGGGAGGGGACCAGGTCCCGAGTAGGGAGGACAAGAGAAAAGCTTCAAAGCGTTTCCTAGTCCAAATATCCTTAACTCCACCTACCAGTCCTTCCCGGGATTGCAGAGCTAGGGCTGCCCATGCCCTCCTGCTTCTCCGGGTCCTCTCCGTGGCCCCGAAGCCTCCTGCCCAGTCCATGCCCAGCTCACCACCCTGCCGCCTGCAACACCTACTCTCCCTGCGGACTTTGATCCCCACACATTTCCACCACTAGATAGCGGAGTTCTTCCTCCCCACCTGTGACACTTGTCCCTCACACCAGTGCCTCTCACCTGTCACCCTTCCATCAGGCTCCAGTGAAATCTCTCCGGTCCTGCAGTTCCTAGGTTCAACCCAGGCTACACTGGGGGCCACCGTTTCTGAGCCAAAGACAGGCCTGGGTGCCTGCTAATGGTCACTGCGGCTTTGACTGCCCCCAGGACAGGCTGACACAGCGACTAGGGCCAGACTTCCCAGGAGCTGCTAATCCCGCCCTCAGTGCCTTATAAACATATATGGAGACAAGAATCACTCCCGCAGCTGTTTCCACTCCACCCCCCGCCCCCCGCCCCGCCCCAGACTTTCCACCAGACTCTCGGCCTATTAAAAATGCTTTTTTTAAAAAAAAAATTGCCCCCCCTCAATGGCTCTAATGTGTGCAGTGGCTTCTTTCTCCGACTTCCAGATGTGTGGTACCTGAAACTGAACTCCCCCATACACACATGTGCACGCACACACACACACACACCCCAACCCCCTCAGGACGCTCTCTGTCCTGGCAGACAGATGCGAGCCAATTCTTGAGTGGCCACAGAACTGAGGCCAGGCAGCTGTTACATTCTCTTACATTCTCTTACATTCTGGTGCTGGGGTAGGCTGGGGTGGGAGGAGAAAGGACCCCTTAGAAAGGTAAATGCTGGCGACTGGTTTCATCAGCACGGGCAGAACGGAAACTTTGTGCCTCCACCTGACTGGGGCGGCAGGAAGCTGTGTGGGGACTGATGGTTTTGTGTTAATGAGCAGGTCACATCAGGACCCCTGTTTGTGGGTCACTAGTGAGATTTATAGCAGGATTCAACCAGGAGAGGCTCTCTTCTGTGTAGGAAGAAAGATCTGGTAAATGCCCAACAGGCAGGGAAAGGCCTTTGCAGTAACTACGGATTTCCTCAGGGTCTAAAAAGTTTCCCCTTCCTAAGAGGCAAGTGTCAATTCAAACACACCACAGTAGTTAAGAATGTGGGGTTCTTAGGGAGGCCAAGGCAGGCAGATCACCTGAGGTCAGGAGTTCAAGACCAGCCCGGCCAACATGGTGAAATCTCATCTGTAATAAAAAATATATAACAATTAGCCAGATGTGGTGGCACATGTCTGCAGTCCCAGCTCCTTGGGACTTGAAGCTGGGAGGTGGAAGCTGCAGTGAGCTGAGATCACGCTACTGTACTCCAACCTGGGTGACAGAGCAAGACTCCACCTCAAAAAAAAAAAAAAAAAAAAATGTAGGAATCAGGGTCTCTATTCTTTAGTAGTGACTAGGAGGCAGTGGGGAGCGAAAGACGCAAAATTCCCAATCCGGATCCTTCCAGAAGCCAGAATGAGCTGGTCAGACATCTGCTCTGTTCCTCCTCTTCATTCATCCATTCAGTCATTCAACACATTCATTAATCAAATGAGTTATGCACTGGGTGCCTAATATGTGCCAGTTACTCCAAGTGCCAGACACATGGCAGTGAACAAACAAACACATAATATGTTAGGTCCAGTGAATACAATGAGGAAAATAAAGAGGGGACCAGAATCAAGAATGGGAAGGGGTGGTAGTACACTTGATGTAGGGTTCTCAGGAAGACTACTCTCTGAAATATCTGTGCCACCAAAACCACAGTGCAGGCAGGATGGCGGGAGGGGGTGCAACGCCGCTACACCTCCAAGACCCCCTCTAGGGCACAACCAAGGTCCCTGCTGAGATGGCACTGTCCCACTTCACCATCACAACCAAAGAGGTGCGTGTTGGAAGACAGGAACTCCAAGATCTCCTCCTTTTTCTGCTAGGACTCAGTAACCCATTTTCATTCCCTTAAGGGGCCACGCCCATCCAGCCTAGAGTTAAAAGAACAAAAACAGAGACCGGGACAGGTAGACTTGAGACCCCAAGCAACTCTGTGCTTTCCACCATACTTCAGAGCAGTACTTGAAACAAAATCCCTGCCCCACAGGACGAGGGGTTGATTTCAGGTCACTAGCCATTTACACAAACCCACCGATGTCTAGAACTGACTTCCCAGCACCCAGGGCCTCAAGCATCGCAGGACTCCTGCAGGAAATGGAGCCACCTCCCACATCTACCCCTCTCCCCAGACAGGCGCCCTCACACCTAGAAACCTATCCAGAAATAGCCACGAGCCTAGGTGGGGGCCTCTTCGAGGGTGCTGAGCAGACTCCTTTGCCATTGAGTTCACACCTTCCAAGGGGCCTTCCCTGACCATCCCTCCTAGAGAAGGCCCCCACCACCATTATTCTACTTCTAGCTTCTGGCATGTTTTAGCTGCAGCATTTAATGTGACAAGGAAGAGTGCGGCATGCTCATCTGTTGTGCTTTTGCTTCTTCCCTCGTATGCTCTGGAAATGGTCTTGTTTACCGTTTTCTCCCCAGTGGATAGGATCGTACACAAGGGTATGTGGGAGGTGCTAGAAAAATATTTGTTGACTGAAAGAAAAGAAAAGCACTCTTACTTGGTCACCCAGTGGGGAGCTACAGAATGTGTAATTTAAAAATACACTTGGCGGCCAGGCGCAGTGGCTCACGCCTGTAATCCCAACACTTTGGGAGGCCGAGGCGGGTGGATCATGAGGTCAGGAGATCGAGACCATCCTGGCTAACACGGTGAAACCCTGTCTCTACTAAAAATACAAAATAATTAGTCAGGTGTGGTGGTGGGCACCTGTAGTCCCAGCTACTCGGGAGGCTGAGGCAGGAGAATGGCATGAACCGGGGAGGCGGAGCTTGCAGTGAGCCGAGATCGCACCACTGCACTCCAGCCTGGGCGATAGAGCAAGACTCCGTCTGGAAAAAAAAAAAACAACAAAAAACACTTGGCCTGTAGTGGTGGCTCAGGAGTTCGAGACCAGCCTGATCGACATGGAGAAACGCTGTCTCTACTAAAAATACAAAATCAGCCAGGCATGGTGGCACATACCTGTAATCCCAGCTACTCGGGAGGATGAGGCAGGAGAATTGCTTGAACTCGGGAGATGGAGGTTGCAGTGAGCCGAGATCGCACCATTACACTCTAGCCTGGGCAACAAGAGTGAAACTCTGTCTCAAAATAAAAATAAAAATAAAAATACACTTGTGGCCAGGTGCAGTAGCTCACACCTACAATCCCAGCACTTTGGGAGGCTGAGGTGGGAGGCTTGCTTGAGCCCAGGAGTTCAAGACCAGCCTAGGCAACACAGTGAGACCCTGTCTCTACAAAGAATATAAAGTTAGCCAAGCATGGTGGTGCCGGGGAGGCTGAGGCTAGAGGATTGCTCAAGCCCGGGAGTTCAAGGCTGCAGTGAGTCGTGATTGTGCTATTGCACTTCAGCGTGGGTGACAGATTGAGACCTTGTCTTGAAAAAAAAAGAGAGACAGAAAAAACAGGCCGGGTGTGGTGCTCACGCCTGTAATCCTAGCACTTTGGGAGGCCGAGGCAGGAGGATCACTTGAGGTCAGGAGTTCGAGACCAGCCTGGCTGACATGGCAACACCCGTCACTACTAAAACTACAAAAAGTAGCTGGGTGTGGTGGTGCGCACCTGTAATTCCAGCTACTTGGGAGGCTGAGGCAGGAGAATCACTTGAACCTCAGAGGTGGAGGTTGCAGTGAGCTGAGATCACACCACTGCACTCCAGCCTGTGTGACAAAGTGAGCCTCCATCTTAAAAAAAAAGAGAAAAAACCAAAAGAATAAAAATACATTTGCAATTTTGTTCACATTCCTGGCATAACAGGGTAAACCATCTCAGCAGTCTTTGGAAAGGAAATGCTTCCCTTTGTGAACTCCTGGCTGCATTGCTGTTGAAGGGGGGGCCTCAGCCTGGGTGATTTCCATGGGGCAGGGGAGGGGCAGGTGGAGGAGGACAAGGCGTCGCTAGCTGGAGTCCTGTGCCTTCTCTCCCTTTCTCTCTTGTTGTAGAGAAAGGCTGTTTACGGACCTCAGAACAATAGACAAACACCTCCGAAAATATACATCAGGGTCACTCATTTCCTCCCCAATTTCCAAGCGAGTACTCACCCTCCTGACCTCTGAACACCAGAGTAGTTCTCCATGGTCTCACTCACAAGTGCACATAGATACAACACCAGTTTTCTTTCAAATACTCATTTGACATCATAATATTCCCCTATTTGAAAACTTATAGTGGTTCCCAATTATTTATTTCCAATTTGGTCTCATCTTACCTCTCATTGTTTTCCTGAATTTCCCAACATGAAGTCTCCTTTTCCAATCTCCTTCTACTCTAGAACAAACCCCACTTTTCCCCCAAGACCTCATTCTGATCCTCTTCCCAAGGAAGCCTTCTCCTCTGCTCTGCAGCAGTCCCGAGCTGAAGCTACTTCCACATCCATGCTCAAGATTCACCCCCTCCATAAAACCATGCTTGATAAATCCCGCCCCATGAGAATCTCATCCCCTGACACCTCTTTGGCCTTTATGAATCCATGTATCTCATGGTCTGCACCTCCCTACCCCACTTATGCTGCCTTGGGCTGTTTTTTAGGTGAAGTATAAACTT